TTTACATTTATCCTAATTTTGGAAAAATGTTTCCAAAGTTACTCAAAATTTGTTCCTAAAACCTAATAATTGTCCCAGATGATTAAAAAAAATCCAAAATATACGCAAACATAATCCTACTAAGACCCAAAAATGATCCAAAAAGACAAATTGGCCAAATGTCATGTGTCTATCTGCTGTACTGATGAAGTTCTGATGCTCAGGAATGATGGAACAGGTCCATTAAAGTGATAAATCTGGACTCTTTTGTTTTTTATTTTCCAATTAATGCCAGTATAACACACCCCTAGACAGACGTTTTTGAGTTCCCTCTACTTCTAAGCCATGGTTGTGCCAATTCCATAAAGGTGCAGGACTTTATATTGCGGCGCAAAAGTGACTAAAAATGTGACAGAAGCAAAATCTAGCCAGAAACTACTTGGTGGGGTTCAAAGGGTTAAGAACATAAAAGAGCTGAGTGGCTTTTTTTTGCTTACAGCGTTGAACAGAAAGGTTAAATCTATGAAGGGAATTTTACTCCTCCTGTTCAAGTAGCACGTTATAAACTGTCAGCAAAAGATAACTGTCACTGTGTAATTGAGGGTAAGCGGACCACCACAGCAAACGGATAGTGTCACCAACCCTTTTTTTTTCATCTAAGTATAATGAAGCAGCTAATTAGCAAGAGAGCAGTAGTTTCCTTGTAAGATTTCATAGCTGGATGGAAGAGCCGGTTCCTTCTTTTTTTTTTTTTTTTATCTGATCTTTTTTGTTTAGTACTTTCTGTTCCCTACATGGCCATGTCTGTCCCATTTATGAGAACAAGAACAGGAGACATCAGCGTATTCACACTGGCAGGGGGAGAGAAAATGTCCCAGGAAAGGCGAAATGAGGCCACAGGACAGTCAGCACCCAAGAGTTATGAAGAACTGTTGAGTCAACCTTCTGTGAGGCGTAAAGGTCTACAGTGGAGCGCAGCCTTAAGAGCAAATGGACGCGTGCGGATTATCGTTTTGCACTGAAGTTCCTTTCACTGCACTTACATTTTTATCATATAAATTTCAAAATAAAAAGGAGCTAAAAGCAAAAGAAAAATATCAAACACAGTCGATTCCTGCTTTAGTAAATAGAGAGAAAATGTCATTTTAATCAGACAATAGTTGGATATTCCTAAATTTAGTACCACCTATTCTAACAGGTATCCCTCTATATTCAAACAGTCAATAAAACATAATAAAAAGTAAAGCTCCCTGTAGAGCAGAGAGGAGGAGGAGGAAGAGGAGGAGGAGGACGAGGAGGAGGAGGAGGAGATACTGATGGCCAAGATCATCTAAAAGTATTTATAGAAGTGGACCAGGACAGGGCTTCCACATGGGACACTGTAGCTACAACACTGCCAGAATAAAGAGAGGAGGAGAGACGAGGGATGCAGAATACAGGAAAAGAAATAAGACAAGAGGAGGGAAGTCTGTGGGAGGGGTAAATACTGCACACCGCTAGCAAAAAAAAAAAAAAAAAATCGGTGTATGAAGTAATTGCAGTGAGGGAGATTTTTTTGAGGGATTTTTTTTGCTTGGGTTGGCCGGAGCCACGATAAAGGCTGGAAATTGTGTTTTTCCTCGAGTGTAATCCACAGAAAAAGACTGCTCACAAATGTAACGCACAAAGAGCTTAATTGTACAGCGCATACAGTACGAAGGCTTTACGGGCCCACAGGAGCAATAATTTCCAACTCAGTCGAATCTCTTTAAGAAGACAAAAACATCCCCGAAAAACCGTAACGCACAAAGAAAATAAAATAGGATTATAGACCCCAAAAAAAGTGCTCGTATACTAATGTAATAATCCTAGATGAGAAGTCCAATAAAATGCAAATAAAAAAAATAAAAAAAAAAGATACATCTGCAGTCGCACGCTTCCCTCAAATGACCCGACTGCACTCAGTATCCTGCAGCTCGCTCACACTTACTGTAGTCTCTCCCACCCTGCAGCATTTAAACCAAGCCAGGGAGTCACTTAGCACAGCCAATTTTAACCTGCACCGCCATACATAACTCACGTCTGACACCGAGATAAACATCTGGGTCAAACTCCAGGATATCCATCTTATCTGATCTTGCAGACAAACAAGACGTACACTGATCGTTTTTGCCATCACGCCACACACACACACACATACACACACACAAAGAGGGAGTTGTTGTGCAGCTGCTCCCCACGCTGCGCCTGT